CCTTCTTTGGTGTTCATGTCACTTCTAAGCCCCTTGAATTTCACTATTATGACCTCAAACTGGCTTCTGGTTATGTAAGTCTTTTATATTTTAACAGTAACACCATTTTGCTTGATGTAACAATTTAATTGTATCCTGTTGCCCCCGTAAAAGGTGCCCCTTTCCGGGTGAGTTGTACCCACATAGGATGGACTGTCAGATTGGAGCTAGTAAATTACTGAACCAATTTTGGGTTTGATGAGAATTAAATGATTAATATGGTGTCAACTAGCAGAGAGGTAGTTGAGTTTGCATTTAAAGAGAGAAGGAAAGAGAAAAGGAGAAGGATGCACTTAGTGGGGGGGAGGGACTCGGTGTATGTAAGTTCATTATCACCTAGGTCTCTGTGATTTTGAATACAAAAAAAGCTGCTTTCTCCAAAGCCTGGGAACATTCATTCGCAGACTGACCTTAATTTAATGAGGTCTAGAACTCTGGACCTTTGCATTTAGGATGACAGGAATAATATGAAAAGGGTAAATGACCTGTGTACAGGGAGTTTTGCATAGATCTTCTACAGGTTAGACACATGGGGTGGACCTCATGTGAATATTTTATTATAATGGGCCCCATGCCGTGAGTATTCTGTAAAACATCTATAAAAAAAATTTCTGAGTCCAAGGTTGTTTCTTCGATTCCTATACTATTATCGGTGTCTCCAAAAAAAGTGACGGGGAAGGCTCCGAATACCGGTCAATTCAGAGAGGGATGCATATGATTGTGAAACGCGGATAAATTGTTATATATTTATGCCTTGCAATCTCACCACTTTTATAGGATAAGCTAGGGTGATTTGGTACAGAGTGATTCTATTAATGACTAGATTTGGGAAGAAGATGTGGCGAGCAATACCTTGAAGCAACCTTAATCATGTCATCATATTTCTGGTGTCATCGTGTATAAGAGATTTGGAGCAATTTGGGAAGAAGATGTGGTCCATACCTTAATCATGTCATCGTATTTTTGGAAGGGGAATTCGTAATTAAGTTTGGTCTTTGCGATATTTGACGATTTGAAATAGAATATTTGACCATAAGGTTATTGATTTAACTTGAACTACCTTTAGGTTCACTCATGAGTAAATGGAAACAAAGTACGAGAGATTGGGAGCAGTGAAAGGCGAATATCGAGTGCCTAAACAATTAAATTTTGCATATTCAGCGATTTATGATGCAGTATTTGATCAAAAGGTTTATTGTTAATTTGAACTACCTTTTTTCATTCCTGTCTGAAGTCATCAAATTTAGCCTATATAACTCTGGTTCGATGATGGTCTTTGGTTAGGGTCCCATTATTAATATAAGTTCATTTCTTTTATCTTTTGTCAATTGTCCTGTTATTGTGTGAGTTGATTACTCCTAGTAATTATTGCTGTATATTGTACTGTATAACCTTGACAATGTAAAATATGAATGAATCATCATTTTTTATGGTAAAAATGTAGAAGTGAATGAACTTATTCTGCCTATTAACTGGAATTCAGTTGCTGATTCCTCAAAATATTTATCAGTTCATATTGGGCTTGTTAAAATTTCATATTCTCATCATATATGTGTAGTTACATTTTGAATGTCTGAGATGCCACTCCCCTGGAGCTCTAGGCACAGCCTTGTTCACAGGAATGCCTTCTTTCTTTTCATTAAAGCATTGGGGTTTTGTTTTTCATGTTCTCTTGTAGAAATTACATTCTTTTACTTAGACTTACTTATTTGTCCTCTACTGCTTTATATGATGAAATGAGCAGATTAAGAACTTCTATCAATCAAGAAAGAGTCAAAGGACAGTGATAGCTTTAGTTCAGGGGTACCAGGTGCCACTTTACGGTGGAATTCCGGTGCTTAGTGGCGCCAAAGATCATCTTGAGAGAGTAGATGTGCCTCTAAACCTTACATTTGTTATGAGGTCAAGGGCCTACATTCTGGGGAGGCTGGTGAAGCCGAAGTTCTATAGAAGTATCTTATGTGAAGTAACTTTGAGAGGTAACAATCTAGGCAAGCCTGTTGATTTGACAAGATCTGGTTCTTGTGTTTATAAGTAGGTGTAGGATGATGCTATGGATTTTGTGGTGCACTCGTATTTGGGCCAATTTGGCTATTTGCTCACCTTCTGTTATTGTATTTTGTGCCAAAATCTATATTTGTTAGCTGACAATTTTCTGAAGGGTAAAAATTATTTTTGGGCTGCAATTCCAAGTCATGAACCTTTTTCATACAGCGAAGCTTATGTAATGCTGAGCTAAGAAGCACGAATTTGAATTCGAATTCGAATTCGAATTCGAACTCGTAATTTGAATAAGATATGAGTATATTGATACATTTAAAAAAAAAAAAAAAAAGAATACGTGTGTTAAAAAATTTATTATTTACAAAAATTTAATACTATTATCTATGTACATTAATAAAATTATTGTCAACTACTAATACAATTTTATATGTATTAAAATAATTAATACTGTTATTTATTTTCAATAATGAAAATCTGGTTGTCAATTATTTAGTGCTAAGTCCGTTTTAGGTGGAGATAAAGGTCAAGATTTTAATTTAAGTCAATATTAACAATTAATTCCAATTATATATATGAGATCCACATTTTTTTCAATCACATATTTTTTTCGTTTTTATCAAAATCTATTAAAATTCTGATTTTAATACTCACCAACCAGACAAGGGCTAAATAAATTTTCAATCTTGAAGTGCGTTTAATTTCTTTTAAATTGTGAATTAATAATTTAATAAATATGATCTATTTTCAATAAGTTATTTGCTAATAACAATAATTATCTATTAAGTAAAAAATATTTTGCCATCCACTGCTATTAATAATCTACATTTGCATCTATCTACGATATATTTAAAGGGAGGATTGAGAAGAAACATTCGAATACCAATTTTATCTTTGCACATTTAACTATATGTTCAATATACCCTCATTTAGTTAACAAAAAGAAAATAATAATAAAAAAGAAATTTGAAAGGTTGTTTTAATTGATATTCTGAAGTTGCAGTACTCATTAATGAGCGTTTGGTATAAGAAGATATTCATACTTCTTTTCACCTTTATCAGCTCCCTTGCCTTTGCTTTGCTCTAGTGGTACACCAAGTTTGGTTTCCCTTGTTGGGATGTACTATTAAACCAAAATTGGGGTTATCTACTAAAAACTATGGTAGGACCAGCGATGATGAAGGAAGAGAAGGAGGAAGAGTAGGAATAGGAGCTAGCCTTTGTAGTGAAAACCCAGGTCAGTCAGTCCTCCATTCATTTGATCAGAGGTGCGGGTAACGAGGCCACTTTCACTATTTGAGAGGGCTTCTTCCTATACTTATGAATTCCATTGGACCCAGAAATGATACATTGGAAATACATGAATCTTCATGTTACCTACGTTTTGATAAAAAACGGAATATAGATAGGGTAATTATATTTTCACTAAAATTTTTATTAATTACACAACATTATTTCTGCAATAAACATTTATAATTTTTGGTTATTTTCACGCTTAAATCCTCAATTATTCTCCGCTATATTCTTATCATTACATGAAACTAAATAAATTATTATAACACTATAATATGTGTTAAAATTCTAAAACCATCTACACAATGTTAGTAGATTATAAAATTGTATACAACTAATTTTTTAACCCACTATTACATATTCAAAGAATATTGAATTCCTAAAAGATTCGATTGAAAATAAAATATAATAGTTAAAATAGTTGTGTTAACTGATGAAAAGTCATTTCGAATAATCCACCAACTCATTAATCACCATTAATTTACATTAATTTGATAAATTATGAGACAAAAAGTCATTTTCAATAACCTAGGTGTGAATAGGTGTTAAAACATTTGTATTTTACATCGTTATATTTAATGTGAACAATAGATTCAATTTATTTCCTCTAAATAAGTTAATTAATAATTATTATTGATTTCAACAGTTAAGTCAATTAATTTCCACTAAACATAATTATAACTAATTACTAGTATACAATTAATAAAAAGATTATTACATAGAATTAAAAAAAATTACAATAATACTATATAATTAACGGCATATTTTATTAAACCGATTATTATTTATATATAGAATTTATAATGTTAAATGAATTAAATCAACAAACTTTCATTTCTAATATTAATGACCCTAATAATTAGGAGATATTTGCCTTAACATATTTGTAACATTTATCCTCATGTCTCCTTTAGGAATTAGAAAGAAATCTGTAACATTTTTGAGTTACTTAAAAATTGATTTTTATTTTTTTTTTGGCATTAAATATTAAAGATGAAAATTTTTTTGGGAAGCAATTTATTGATAATTAATGCATTATATAGTCAACTTTTATTAAGTTTTGAAGGTTTTTCTTCTTTAGAGAAAAATATATTATTAGGATAATGAAATTTTCATTTTTGGTCATTTAATTGATTTGGTTACTAATATTAATTCAACTTTGAAATATACATTAGTAAATTATGTTTTTTATGGTTTGTACTTTGTATACATATTAATTTTTTTACTAACTACTTTAATTGTTCAATTGAGTTTTCTTTTTTTGAAATTTTTTTAATTTTTCTAATATTAAATAAATTTAATCAATAAACTTTCATTTTTAATCAAGTCTCTTTTTCAATAAATTTGAGGTTGACCAATGAAAAAATATATTTTTTAAAATTTTTTTCCTTCCCAAATTTGTTGTTTAAAATGAATAAAATAAAAATGTGTTGTAATGATTAATACCCATGCATTACTATATATATTTGGTTTGTCATTTTTCAAAATTATTTGTCAAAATAAAAAATTAGAAAAGACTTTTGGTTTGAAATTTTGAAAAATTATTTTATGACATGTTATTCAATAAAATTTGATTTCAATAAAAATATAACTATTTTATATTGGGTGTGCTAGATGTACATCACCATTTATAGAATGATTTATATATGATGAGATACGATTGAGTCAAAATTTCTTCAATCAAATTAAAAAAATAAAAATAAAATTCTCTACTATCTTCTTGACAGTTCATCTATCTATAAAATTTTTTGTAACTCCTTATAATGTAAAAGTAGAATTATTCATTTTATGTTAATATATTATTAAGTAATATATACATTTTAAAGTTGATGAATCTTAGAATATTTTTTCTAGCTACAAAAGTGAAATAAAAATAAATAATAAATTGAGTTCAAAATATAAGGAATGAAAATAAAAATTCGAAAGGGAATAATTTTCAATATGTCTATATTTTGCAGTAACCATTAACAAGGTTTAAGGACAAACAATACCTACTATTGAAATATACCTTCATGAACATATGTTTTCTTATGGGCAACTATATGTCTCAATTTCTCGCAAAAAACAACAAAAGTCTGAATAAAAGCAAAAAATAAAAAGAATAAAAGCCGTGAGACATTGACAAAACAAAGAAGAGTTATTGTAATCAAAATATTACATTTATATTTATTCAACCTTTTCACATTATGATACATAATTTCATAAAAAAATTTGTTCATATATATTATTTTTTTTTAAATTTTAAATTTTCTTTAAGAATATCAAATACCTCAATTACTTTAAAAATTATATCAATACTTTAAAAATATTACGCATATTATTCATCCTATACATAAAACGCGTAACACACGTACTTAAAAGAGTTTAAAATCAATAAAATTTTCATTCACGTGTCATACCGTGTACGATATGCATCGAAAATATAAAATAATTAAAAATTACGTATCTGGTACGTGTTAGAGAATATCCAAGAGTAAATACGTATCAAATATGTATATTCGCAATAAATTTATAAGTATTTGTGCTTTTTAGAAGCTGAGTATTGCATCTATTCTGGGTCTAATTTATGCAGCCAACTTCATAATAGGACTTCAACGATTTTGTAGATTTTCTTGATGATAAATGTAGTCTTTACATGCATACAGATTCAGCGAAAAGGAAGGTAGTGTGGAAAACATAGTTGATAAAATACACTCATAAGAAACGACATAGTGACATAGATTGAGAAGCGAATTGAAAAGACTAGATGAAGAAATCTTCTACTCAGTGATGAGTTTTTCTTGTTAGAAGGCAATGCAACAAATACAACCTAACAAAGGGAACTACACCTAGAATCATTTTCACACTTTCGCTGGGAAATTAATCTTCCTTTTCATTATGGTGCCCGGGCATCTTCTCCTTGATCTTGTCCATTATCCCTTTCTTCTCCTTTGCATCGCTTCCTGGGGAATGCTCATATACATATGGAGTTTCAGTGCCTTCTTCAATTTTCTTGTGCTGGCCTGGAAGTTTTTCTTTGATCTTCTCCAGAAAGCCCTTCTTTTCTTCTGCCTTAGCTGTTTCAGCGTTTGCTTCTTCATTACATTTCTCAACGGGAATGCTCGTGTCTTTATGTTCAGTGTCTTCTCCTTCATCTTCAGATATCTTATCGTTGATAGGCTCCTTCAGTCCCTTCTTCTCCTTCTTCTTTCTCCTTTCTCCGCCCTCTTCTACATCCTCCTCACTAGACTGAAAATTTAAACAATAAAACGGAAAATAAATTATCTTGAACAGATGGTTTATGAAACTTTATTTGGAAAAGGATGGCTAGAGTTATAAAATTTACCGAGCTTGAGTGGCTATGAGAGCGTTGAAGCTCATCCATCAGAGTGTGCTTTTGCCTCCCTTTGCTCCCTTTTCCAGTGTCAAAATCTGTCATTACAATATCATCTTGAGTTTTTTCTTCCTCCATTCTATCCTCTCTCATAAAATTGAAACATCCATGCTCTTCGGCCTCCACAGAAGAAGTGTTATTGACATGGCCTTGAGGGTATTGCTCTGCCATTCTGTTTGTTTTTGCAGATAGATTAATATGGAAATGAAGTGATAATGTGTATATATACTGATGCACTAGCTGAGTGAACTTGAATGCCACGGTGTGGTCGACTTATATAGGAGTAATCATCGACAAATGAGTACTTTGCATAAGTTTTATTTAGTGAATCTAATGTATCCTTGCAGTCCATAATTTATCAACATTGGAGATTTGTGTACGGAAACCTTGGACACTGGTCACGACAATCATAGAAAATTAGAAATGTCGGTTTGGACGGTTAATACCAATGGTCAGGTACATAGTGTTTACAAACTTTTCAGGAAATAGATTGAATTTGGGGAGCCTTGGAAACGTTAATTCAGGCATAGCTTGGTTGCGAGGATTTTGTCGGTTTATTTTATTAAAATAATACTGGTTTGAGTGTTTTCATATACACAAGTACATATACTAAAAGCATTTCTTGGACCAACCAACGAATGATTCCCTTAAAAGGTTCAAATTTCCAAAAAATGAATGTACATTTGCACACGCAAAAAAATATATTTTGAAATAGTGAATTTTATAAGAATGTGCGGCTAATAAATAAGGAAAATTTTTGGATATATTTGTAAATTAAAGAGTTTCGAAAAAAATTAGTTTTTGAAAAAACGGAGACCAAATATTATTTGAAGTGAATAATGCTACTTGTAAATAGTGTCAAAAAGAGAGTAGATGATTTTTTTTTTTTTTAATTTGGTTGAAGAAATTCTAATCAAATCGTATTTCATTACATCATGTATATATAAGCCATGTAAATCATTATATATATGTAGCACGATCGATTTGAAGTTACCATGAAAACAAAAAGAAAAATACTTGTTATACATCGTCATTTGTATAATTTTTTCACAAATTGATGAGGTGTCAAAAAATAATGGGAATTTTTTTTTTTTTTTTTGGTTTTTAAACGAGATTTTGATCTAATCAAATCTCCTCGACATCATCTGTGAGAAAACAAATTTGAAAGTTGTAACAGCACAATTGAAACAAAAACTTGTTGCTTTATGTCAGGAAGGATGGCAACTTTGAAACACAAGTCAAAGTGTACTAATTATCTAATCTGTTGGCACAAATATTTTTATGCATTAATTCATCACTAATGCTACTCAAATAGGGACTATGGATTGGATTTTCACTGCACCCAAAAAAAAAGGCTTCTGCAGCGGTTGTGCTCTAATTATCTAATTTGTTGGCACAAATATGGTTATGCATTAATTCATCACTAATGCTCCTCAAATAGGGGCTATGGACATGATTTTCACTACACAAAAAAAGGCTTTTACAGTGGCCCGCAAAAGGTCAAAATAGGGGCTATGGATAGGATATTCACTACACCAAAAAAAAGGCTTTTGCAGCGGTCAAAAACCATTGCAAAAGATCTTTTGCAGTGTTTTACCGTGTGTTGCGAAGGTCGATGTTGCCATTGATGGAAGGTTTTTGTAGCATTTATTCAACATTGCAAAAGCCTGTCTTTTAGAACTTTTTCTGATCGTTGACGTAGAGAGCTTTTTTTCTTTTTATTTTTATTTTTACCAATTGATGTAAATTGACTTGCAAAATTGATAATTTCATTGCAAATTTTTGAATCATACACTTGAACATTAGAATGTGATACAACACCATCTAACTAAAAATGAGTAGGGATTAAAGAGTTTTTGTTGCATCCTCTACAAAGCTCGAAACTACAATAAACTATCCAAACTACAAATTACACAAACAGAAACAATGGCATTGAAGACGAAGGGACAAAGCAAGTAACCTTGATTATAACATAAAGATCACTAGGTTGATTACCCTCATGATCTGCTCCACCACTTCTAGGAAAGCATGTATTGAAACGACGACGAATCCTCCTTCCCGCATAGGCATGGCAATTCGGCTCGTCGGTTTGGGCCGCCCGTAGCTCGGCTCGAGGTTTGGTTCTATTGGGCCAAGGCTCAGGCCGAGCCTCATTTTCGAAGGACGAGCTGAGCTCGAGCTGGCCCGTGAGCTTGAGGAGGAGGAAAAATAAATAAATAAATTAGCTAGAAAAATGCTGCCTTAAGAGGCAGCACAGCTGATTGCCTCTTAAGGCAGTAGCCGACTGTGGATGCCTTTTAAAAAAAAAAAAAAAAAAGAGGTCAAAAAAGAAAGTGCCCGACTCAGCCCGTGAAGGCCTGGGCCAATAGCTCGGGTCGAGCAAATTTTTTTTGGCTCAAGCTCAAAAAAAAGCTCGCTCACTTTATCCGAGCCGAGCCCAAGCCTCAAGTTTCAACTCGCAAGTCGATTGGGCTCTACTTAGCTCGACTCGGCTCGTTGACATCCCTATCCCCGCATCATCCTCCACCACCACAGTGTACAACAACTTCGTTAACCTCTCTGTAGCCGCCATTCCTCCATTGCACATGCAAAACTCACAAATTTGTAATGAGAACCATAGATAGTTTCTACAATTAGATAGGAAATATATAAAGAAAATAATAGATGGTTGGTTGAAATGGTGAGGTATATCGTGTTTACCAACTTTTTTGGAGATAGATTGAATTTGGGGAGCCTTGGACACGTTAATTATAGCATGGTTGGTGGAAATGGTAGCCAGGTTACGAGGATTTTGTCGGTCTATTTTATTAAAATAATATTGGTTTGAGTGTTTCATATACACAACACTAGTGCATCTATTAAAAGCAATTCTTGGACCAACCAAAGAATGATTCCCTTAAAGGCTCAAATTTCCAACAAATGAACGTACTTGCATACATAAACCTCCTATTTGAGCCCCATTCAATATGCAAAATGTATTTTGAAATAGTAAATTTTTTAAGAATGTGTGCACCGTGTGGTTAACAAATAAGAAAATTTTTTGAGTTTACTTGTAAAATTATTTTATAAAAGAAAGTTTACTTGAGAATTGTATTGAAAAAAAAAATGAGTTTTTGAGAAAATGGAGATCAAATATTATTTGAAGTGAATAATGCTACTTGAACATGATAGAATTACACATAAATAGGATGTCAAAAAGAGAGTGGATGAAGTCTTTTTTTTTTTTTTTTAAATTTTTTTTGTTGAAGGAATTTCGATCCAATACTATTTCACCACATCATGTGTATGTAAATCATGTAAACAATTATATACATATAACACGATCAATTTGAAGTTACCATGAAAACAAAAAGAAAAATGCTTGTTGTACATCACAAATTCCATAATTTTTTTACACATTAATGAAGCGTCAAAAAAATAGTGGGAAAGTTTTTTATTTTATTTGATTGATGAGATTTTGATTCAATCAAATCTCCTCACATCATCTAATAGTAAACAAATTTGAAATTGTTATAGCGCAATTGAAATTTTTTTTTTTTTTTTTT